AATGGCGGATGACCAAGGAAATGATGAGAATGTCATCAGCAAACGGTTCAGCGGCACGTTTATTCGCGACTAAGTCACATTGTTATGATTCATGGCTTATATATGAGCACTAAGATCTCATAACATTACAATAAGCATCGCAATTCGAAATATCTTCGCCAAGCGCGTCGCAAGACGATGCCAAGTCTTGCGACAGAGAAAGTAATGACAGACGTATAAAGCAAATAAGACGAGAAGACTTTGTGAGAGGAAAGCACAAGAAGTACTCCAGACTTGAGAAATAAGAAAATGTGGCTCTAATCAGTCCAAAACAAGACTTTGGAGAAGGAAAGTATGGCTACATCCCGACAGGGTGGTTCAGAGCTTCATGGGATATTTTTTTTGTACTCTGTGAGTGTCACAGTCTAAAGTGCCGGCAAAGTAGCAGCAAAAGCTTGGTGCCGCTTTTATTTGAATTTTCGATTTTCGTACGACTAACAGGTCAGTTTAGATTGAGATTAGCCCACATCAATATTTTCTCGCAATCGTCTTCAAGTTTGCAAAATTCAAACTATCCTTAGAATCGTTTCTCGATTTTTTGTCGCAAATAGCCACTTTCTTTTGTTGTTTACTCCAAGCTTCTGCTATGCAATCCCTTACTTTTCCTTTAATCGCACAACCTTTACTGTTCCTGTTTGCGATCACATCTCCCAAAGATGCTCCTCCGGGATCTGCTTTTCGAAAAATAATTATTGGTTTCAGCTTATAGTGTCCTATTACCTACATATGTAGTGTTCGCATGCGCGGAAGTCGTGACGTCGCGCAGACTTTTCTAATGGCGGACTTACCTACCGGACTTTAGGATATGTTAAGTTCTCATCGATTTTGTGAATAGGGAGGTCGCGCCAGATCGGCACCTTTCAACACGGAATGAGGTCAGCGAAAATAGATGTCATTTTCTTGATCAGGATGACAAATAATCTCGTACATAAGTTCTCATCGGATATTGGCGAAAAGGGTGGTGGCGCCATACTTTTCGCTCTTTGCGCCAATTGACACCAGCGCCAAAAATGTATATCATATTCGTGTTCAGGACAATCAATAACATCTACTGATAGTTCCAGCGAAAAATTTTTCCTGAGTTCCCGCCATATGTAGTAATGGTGGAGTAGCGCCGACATTCCACTGCGACAGAAATGAGAAAACATGGAAAACTTTTATATTACGTTGAAAATTACCCCTCTTCTCCGAGATCTCGTTGAGGTTTCTCAAAACGAATCGCCCTGCCCAGTTCTCTTTGGTAGAATGACCCTGAATTGTTTCCGGTCATTTCAAATCATGTCGTCGTAAGGAACGCCCGAAACCTTCACGGATGGCTTTTTATGTCCACCAAACACAATTGTACACACTTTCAGCGGCATTCCGCCTTTTGGCTTTGCATTTGAAGCTAATAGGACCTCGTCATAGTTTTATGCTGAAACGTAATAAAGGCTTCTGTGACAGTGGCAAAATTGCTCACTCACATATGTCGTCATTATCCATTGGCGGTGGAGTTTCCACTCTTCGTTCGAGCTCAAACTTGACTTTATATGGGGACGCATAGCTCAACAACGTCAACGCATCCTCGTACACCATATTATCAAAGTTTATGGTCAAAGATTTTATGCGATCACCTGAAATAAACCAAAATTTCGTACAGTACCATTTGTGAAGGATCACTACATATTCAAACGCTCTAAACCGAAGCACTGTGTGAACAGGGCTTGTGATCTTGGGAATACGCTCACGCTCAAGTTGACAACGGCGTTACGGCGAGGGATCAGAGCACTTACCGCTGCCTCTGGAGGAGAACCAAAGCCGTCCCCTTTTTTTCCCCAACGGCGAGCAAATACGAAGCGATCCTCCCCTTGAAGTTCCCAAGATGTGAATAGCGCTGAAACAAGGAAAATCAACTATCAAAAAATTTTTCTCAGGCCAAATATGATCCCCGCTGGAAATTCCCCAACGTAATACGGCCCTGCGAGCGATCTCGAACACGCCACTTTTGATACACTCATCGATACCAGTTCATGTCTTAACAAAGGGCAGCCTGGCACATAATTCGTGTACACTTTGAAAAGAGGCAAGGGGTTCCAGTATATGGCAAAATGAGAAATGAAACACGAGGACAAAATGTGGGATGCGCTTCGCGAGCGTAGTATTGCTTGTTGCAATGGGGGATGTAGCAACCTTTTAATCGCTCGAAACGATGCAGAGCGGTGTTCCGCACGCTCAATACACTGATCAAAGTATGTATGAAGCACAAGTAGTCTCCCGTTTCATAATCTTCAAAGCACACTCATTGTTGTACGAAGGTGACAATCAATACCACTGAGAAGCTACTGACGATAGGATTGTTTATAAAAACAATGCAATGCAGCATTGATGAACAGCAGATACGAACTCGCAGAGCAGGTGACGGCCATCAGAGTGCTTTTCACCGCATCCAACAATTTGACACAACGACCAGGTTTATCAATTCTTTGCCTTCATCGCGTCGTCTTGAACGTCTCGGTGTTGTCGGTGTAGATGTGATCGCTGCCAATTGGTTAAGCCTGAAAGCAAAATCGATTTTCATTTTCTGACCATTAGTAAACTAGCGAGATTTGAAAACCTCACCGATGAGAACTGGAATTCGAGGGAAGATTCCCAAGCGGAGGATTCGGTCCTGTTTTCTTTCCGGTCGGCGATTTCGAAGCACTATAAGATGGTTCGGAAACCCGTAAGTTAGCGATACTTGGGACGACAGGCTAAATCAGATGAATCCACTGGAAGTGCAGTCTCGCACTGTAGAACTATGCACAAAAAACGGTCAGCTTTTCGAAAAGAATTTGAATGTGCGCTAAAGAAGTAGAAGGAAGTCAATCGATTTTCCTTTTTCTTCAAATCTTCAAATTCGCCATATCAGTACGTATATTTACGTTTGGCTTGCATTTATTCTCCAATAGTAGATAATATCTAGAAAATCGAGAAAAAAAATAGAATTTTTTGGCGGGATATTTGGGCATGAGGAAGGCGCTACCCACCGAAATATCACAAGATAAGATATTTTAAAAAAACCTGGGACTTTTGCTGTCTTTAGGGTTTTTTGGAAAAAAAATTGAATTTTCACATTGTTATTACACAGGATAAGCAATGAGACCGGGACAGCACCATAACTCCAATTTCTTCAACAGTAACGAACTGCAGGGTCGCAAGGCATAAAGGCAAGCTGACTGCTAGATTTTTATGCAAAATACCCAACGTGCTAACGCTACTCGCCCGAAATGTGCTGAAATACTGACCTATTTCATGGTGGGCAAGAAGAACTTGCATGAAAAGCACTTAGAGGCAGAGGACACGATTTCTGGGGTCGGGCGGTTGTCGCCAACACCACTGATAGAAAGGCTGAGCGTGGCTAAACGTCGATTCACAGTCCTTCCTTCAATGACACTGTCCACAATCGCCCGCCTCTAGCAATCGCGCTCACTGCTTTGAAAAGCCTATATAGACAAATGGACTTCACATGAAGCGAAGCAAGTATCAGGTTTTCCGGAAAGTTCTGAGAAAATTTCACACTTTTAGTTTGGAGAAGTGTAGCAAGCGAATGCCCCAACAGAACGTCATACTTCAAGAGCTACGAGAAAGAGAAAAGTTCGCGGATGAATACTAATGCTGGTTGTTACTATTCTCCATTGTTGGTATGATTTGACATTACCTGAAAAATGTACGGGCGCGCACTCGAACTCCCAACGCCTTTTACTTCATCTTCACCGTTCTCGTTCCTCTATCGGTCAAATTGGGAACGAAGAACCGCCCTCGATGCTGGATGAAATGCGCTCCAAAACTATCCATACTAGGAGATCAATCGTCTCTTCCGTGGAAGTTAAGCTTAGATGTTGCGTACGCCCCCTCA